CACTCCATACAACAGAGCAGCCCTAAAGCTTTCAGAGAAGGCAGAGGATTTGGTTCCATCTGTGTTCAATGTTCGATGATCGGGAGATGAGAAGGCCAACGCAGGGGGTTCCGGTCCAACATTCTTGCGAGAGCATCGCAAAAATCGCTTCCAACAAAAGCTCTGATCTCCACATTCAAGGCGACCCCTGGGACGGCAGCGCACTAAAAAGCCAGCAGATCTCTTTTCTTCACACATTATCACCCCGGCACCAAAACACACAGGATGTTACAGATTCCTCCGTTGGCTGTGTTCCTTTATCTGTTTTTATTCAGAACAGACCCAGAGCACAAAGAGTCGACACATGCACTTGACAGTGCGGAAGTGTCACAGCAGTGCATTACTCTACACAGAAATACAAATCCCCGAAGACGTGTGAGATGTTGAGAATGAAGCATCCCATCTTTAGGCTGTGCTGGTTCCATACACGTGACAACCACGTTTTCTTCAAATGGACGTGACAACGTGACAACCACGTTTTCTTCAAATGGGATACTTTAATACCGAAAACAAACAACATACATGAGTCGTTACTGTGATTGAAGATACTTTCCTCCATTCATCGTATTCTCTTAATTAAATATATATTATATAAATAGAAAATAAAGCTGCAAAATAAAAAATATATCAGCGCTGCATTGAGTTTTAACAAAAACAACAGTCACAAGTACACTTCTGCATCAAGGAAGTTTATGAGAATTACCAGCAGCATCTCCATACTGTCGTGATGTGTTCAAGTACTTTAATTTACACCTCCATGTAGTAAAACAGTATATAAACAATCAAAGTTGCATAAATGTATTTTGAACTCTGTGTTAACAACCCTAACACCTGTCTGAGTGACATTAAGCGTTCGGCACATCAAACTAGACCAAGGCAAACGTGCCATCTAGCGGCTGAATGTATGACGTGCATTCGACATAATAAGAGATTTTAATAACGGCCATGGTTACATTTTCAGGGTTTCTCCTCTCAAAAGCAACTTTCTAAGAATAGACTGATCTACATTTCTTTCACAGAGTGTACTCTAAGTAAGTATGTGAACATGTCACTACGTCAGTAAGCCAATCAGCTGGTGACGCCAGAGATCTGGTGAAGGCAGCAAGAACCAGATCAGAGCATGAAAAAGAAAACACCATCCAGTTCCCAGGATACACTGTATTCAGCTGAGACTAGAAAACACATCCAGGAGGTTGAGTATTTACACTATCACCACTTAACCTGAGAGGTGGCCAATCATACTACGAGGAGGTGACAAAGAGGGCGACTCTTGTCAATCAAAGTTAAAACAGACCCAGGGCTAAGAGTCAGTTGACTAAGACAACTCTAAAGTACCTGAGATAACCTAAGCTGTGAGGATTAGCCTTGTAATCTTAACAGTGTCAGGCTAAATCAAGCACCGTCAGATGCCCTGCTGCCTACATGGGTGTATCTTGGGCTGAGGAAGGGTCAGGAGGTCACACGCCGGCTAATCCAGTCTGGCTACGACCCTACAGAGACAGACGGCAGGTTGGAGATGTCATGAACCTAACAGAATACATGCACTGGCAGCAACTTATGATCATTCACAGAAAATAAAATACAGACTAGACTGAGGATGGAAATAAAAAAAACAAACAAAAAAACCCCCAAACAACCATTATCAATAATCAGGCACAGATTGTTAAATTGCAGAATTGAAGGTCAGAATTGAAGGTCTTTATAACAATGGAGCAGTTGCCAAAGGCTAGAGGCTAACAACTATAAATCTCACTGTTTCTTGTTTGCATATTAATAACATTTTTTTTCTTCTTAATTTCGGATGATGTGTGTGTCTGGAACTGGGGCGGAAATCTTAATAAACAGTGTGGTGAAATAATTAAATATATAAATAATATATACAAATTAGTATATATACATATACTGTATAAATAATAATAATTAATGTAATTATTTATTTTATCATTTTATTATTTTTATAATTGTATTAATTCTTATTTCACCACAAAAGCAAAATAATAATAAAAAACTCAGTGTATACGGAAAGCTCTGTCTTTTAAAGTCAACAATAAGGTGCTTTTCCTTCCCCTCAGTCGACTTTATGCAAAACTATAATTGCGACAGCTATTTTTTGCCATCGTTGATATTCTTGCACTGAGCTGCAGTGGTGAAAGAGTTAAGGATGGAGGCACGTGCACTGCAGGGTGGAGGATGAGATTTCATATCCTCTAGACACAACAAACGCACAGCATGACTTCGATGTTTGTCTGCAGCAGTTTGTCAGGTTTACCTTAGAGGAGCTCTTTCATCTGCGTGGGACTTTGTCATCGAGTCCACATTAGTTCGTAAACATTGAGCCTGAGGTGAGTGTTTTTTTCCTCTCTCTCTCATTAGTACTAACTGATTATGACAGCACCTTTGTCTTCACTTTGTTTGACAAATTCATTGTATGATATAATGATATGTATGATATAACAATACAACTCCATCTGGCTCAGCATGTCAACACACCCATCCTGTTTATCCTGACTGCAGACAAATATGATTACAAATAAGCAATGCTGTGATGCAGAGATGACTTCACTTCCTTGATGCTTTTTCCCCTTCTGCAGGCTGTGCAGCCACTAAGCAGGATGAAGAGAGGAGAGAAATGTCTTCTGAAGAGTAAGCTCATCACTTTTACCTCACCAAGCGTGTCATGCAGTGGCAATATGTCATCTATTCAATGAGAATGTTTGACGTTCCAGTTTAATGAGCAGTAGGGCGAGAAGAGCAGCAGAGAAACCCCAGCAGAGAGTTGTCAGCAGAGAGGACTGACATGAAGCCAAATGGTCCAGTAATGGCCTCAGTGAGGCTGCTACCAAACTGCTGGAGGACAATAATGCACCATGATAGTTACTCCATAAATTAACTGTGGAGGAGGATGTGCACGCACACACATACACACACACAGTGCAGCACCATTAAGACACGGTCCACATCACGGTTCAACCTCTCCACTCTAAAATAATGCAGCAAACATGATAAATGATTTCTTCGCTCGTCACATCGACAGCTTCCAGTGCAGCAAGTTCTTTAATCACTTAGATAAGTGTCCACAGTAATGGATGTCTGGGTTTATCTGAGATTGATTGATCATCCTGCAGTGGTGGGTAAGGGACCAGGAATAATATCTTGACTGAATAAATAAAACGTTATCACTTTGCAAACACTGCAGGTTAGAAAACACAACAACACACATTGACGTACTAATCCAACTACTACTAGTAGTAGTAATACTAGTAGTAGTAGTACTAGTAGTAGTAGTAGTAGTAGTAGTAGTATTTCCTTGGGGAAATTGGGTTGCAGCAGATCTCACATGGCATTTCATCTATTAGAAACCACCACACAGTGGTCAGGTTTCATAAATAGTAAAAAATAAATAAATAAAAAAACATACAGTTACAGCTACACTCAATCATCAGTAAGAATTTCACTTCTGTAGGCCCCGAGGCCCTGCTCACTACTGTACTAACCATAGGAAACCATGAGCTGTTGTTGCACCACAAAAAGACAGTTCATAAGTCTACTAACAAATATACATCTTGGGCAGAAATAATACTTCACTGTATAAGAGAAAACAAATCCTGCAAAACCTGAAGGCCCAGATGAGCTGTCCTACCTCGTTTCCCATTGGCTTAGTTCTGGTGATGTTGACATGTTACACATTGTTACTATTGAATGTCCACACACTGATTAGCCAAGTGTTGGGTTTCCATCACACACACTGTAACCCTGGAGTCGTGAACAGTGAAACTATGACTGTGCTGCCGTTTGAATCTCTATCAAGAGACAACACTGATACACACAGCTGTGGTCTGGGCCGTGTTGTGAAACCAGACTCATGATAGCAGATGAGCTATTTTAAATATGCACTGTATGGTTGGTGGTATCAGGAGGACACCATCAGTTCAGGCAGGTTATCGCCCGGAGAAAAGCTGAGTGATGAAGATGAACGACTTCAATTAGTCAGTGTTTCCAGGATTTTATACTAATGCTAGTGGTTAAAAACTTGTATATAAGACTATAATCAGACTGTCCACTCTGACCCTCCCCAGGTGTCTCCTACAGCTGCGTCTCCAGTCTGTCTGTATAATTCCTGTCCAGGAATCCAACACTAAATATAGTAGCTGTGTGGGTTTCTGAAGCCTTAAGATGCCACCGATCAATAACTGTTCATTATGGTGTTATGGTTTAGTCCTAGTCTCCAGTATATAATTACACTGAAGTCAGTTTTCAACAGTCATTACAAGCCGTCACCGTTTGGCCCCACAAACCTGTGAATCCTTTGAATCCTTTGGTGCGTTTTGTGTGTGATGAGAGGAGACGCATGATGGTTCAACCCCTGGGAAGAAGAGTAGACAGAATTTCATCCTGGACATGGTTCACTTCACAGTCTTTGACGGTCCTGTCAATAAAATCAGAGCTGACTAACACAACGTTAAGACGCAACCACAATAACAACAACAACAACAGAAACGATTAAAACCTAGTAGATTAAGGTAAAAGACGGTGAAGATGCACAAGAAAGACTGGTTAATTCAACTTCAAAATATGTAGATTGGTACAGTTTACTTGAGTATTACTTATTTTTTGTTTACATGCTAACACAGTTATATCAGGTATTTACATTTTTAGGCATATTTTTATTACTTTGTGTGTCTTTTAATGTTTTCATTCTATTTGCAAAATGAGTACATTTGGATTTATTTTACAATACAGAAATTTGGATTAAAGTATAACCAACAACACTGAGGATTCTTACTCTGAAGGTTAAATAATAAGAAATTTCATGTAAACAATGGTGTAAAATTAAGCGGTTGATAACGATTTCTAAAACAAAAATGTCAACATTTCACCAGTAAAAATCTGCATAGTAACGCGGGTAAATGAACCTTGACAGCAGTTTATTGGATGCAGTTCTCACAGAGCTCTCTAGATGGTGATGCTGCGCAGCAGTTAGCCCTTCCTTACCCAGCTCCGTCTGAGTGTTTACAAAACAGAACCAACCTGTCACGGCCTGTGGAATTCAGAGGAGGGGGACAAGTTGTGTCTGTGTCCTCTAAGTACGTGTGTCATTGTCAGCAGTCACCTCACCGCAGCTTCTCCCCTCCACCGCAGACATGCCTCGACAATTTCCAAAGGTAACTCTGAGCGTGGCCGACGAGGAGATGGAGTTACTGGCAGAGAAAGTTTATCAATGTGCATTGAAGGAAGAAGACGCTGACGCCTATGGAATGTTCTCCGTGCCCGAGGACTGTCCAATCGAGCTCCACCAAGAAATGGAGCAGGAGCTGCTGAAGGAGTTGGCAGAGAAGAAATCAGAGGAAAGTACCAAGAGGTTGGTCCTGCTGTGAGGGTGGACCACCATGACACCACCACCACCACCACCACCATCGCCGCCCGAACAAGACACGTGTTATTTTACATCTACAATGTGTGTCTAAATATGGTGTAACTATAATTGTGTTGCTGTTTTGTTATGTTACTGATGCTGCAGAAAGAAAAGCATGATGATGATCCGTTCTCAGTCGCTTCATCCAGACTGGACATGGTCCGTGGCCACTACTCCATTCCCATCTCCCAGCTCCACCAGTTCATCAATGCAGGAAACCTATCCAGATTACCAGAGGGTCACTATCAGTGGGGACTACTGCGCAGGAGTGAGTACTCTTGTCATCAAGGTGGAACTTCCTAATGCCACCCAAGATTGATTAATTCAGGCCAATTTCAAAATGGGGTTCAAGCTGGGGGTTGTGGCACAAAGAAATGACACAAACAATACATTGATGGCAGAGGAATTCCTGGAGTCATTGTAAAATGAGAGTTTTGTGAACGTGACACCAGCGTGATGTCATCTGTGGTCGAGGTCACGGTCGTAAAAACTTGAGTGATTTTCTTTAAGCTAACACATTCCTCTGCTTTATCAAGTTTTATCATTAAAAAAGTCATAATAATACCATACTGAAAACTACAATGTAAATATCCGCGTCACTTTCCACTCAGATCACTCTGGAGGACTATGAACAGGCTGCGAGGAGTCTTTTCAAAGCGCTGCGCATCCGCGAGAAATACTCAAAACTGGCCTATCACCGCTTCTGCAGAACCACTTCCCAGTTCCTCTGCAGTGCTGAGAACATGAGATGGAGCGAGGAAGATGAGGTTCTACCAGGTGTGTGTTGACATTTGATGGAATACTCGCTCATACTTGGTGTTTTGTTTTTTTTTTGGTACAAAACCAAAACCTTTTTATGGCCTTTAGACATGTACCCTAACCCTGCTGAAGGGGAGGATCCCTACAGCATGGAAAACATTCCTGCCAACCTGAATTATACACTAAAGATGAAGGATGGAATAATGCATGTGTACGACGACGACGAATCACTGAGACGAGAGGAGCCTCGTGATCTCCCTTATCCAGACTTGGAAACCTTTGCCATAGACCTCCGTCACGTGCTGGCGATGATCGCAGACGGACCCACGTAAGTTGACTGAACAACCAAACTCTTGACATGTGCTGACTAATGAAGCTGATGAACAATGTTTTGATTTTCAGGAAGTCCTACTGTCACAAGAGACTGAACTTCTTAAGCTCAAAGTTCTACCTCCACGAGATGCTGAATGAGATGGCTGAACTGAAGGAGCTGAAAAGTGTTCCTCACAGAGATTTCTACAACGTCAGGAAGGTTAGTCTTCACACACAGCGCTTGAGTTCGAACCCAAGCGCCGTATCGTTCCGGTGACTCACCTGTTCTGCGTCGTCTCCTCAGGTGGACACACACATCCACGCCGCAGCTTGCATGTCTCAAAAACACCTGTTGAACTTCATCAAGGACAACTACAAGAGTGAGGCAGAACGTGTGGTGCTGGAGAAGGACGGGGAGAAGATGACCCTCAAACAGGTGTTCCACAGTCTCAGTAAGGACCCGTACGATCTGACCGTCGACTCCCTGGACGTACACGCGGTGAGAAAAGGAGAAATTACAAACAAGCAGTAGGAGACATAATGTTTTTTTTTTCTTAATACCTGTAAAAATGTTCCAAAGCCTGGACAGCAGCATGTCTACCACGGTGTTACCTCACCTGTCTTCCAGGAACTGAATACAGTGATGGTTGAAGCTCTGTAGATTCTTCACTCTCTGGACTGCAGGCAGGACGCTCATTCTTTGGAGCACTCCTAAACCTTCTCAGTCTGTTTCCTCTGTCCTAGTTTTTGGGAACATTTTGCAGTGTTCAAGTGTTAAAATTTTAAAAAGTGATCAGTTTAACACTTAATGTTCTGTCTATGTAGTTTATCCATTTCAAGGTTGCAAAAAACTTTCCAGTTGTTCTGTGTTTTTCTTTTTAACATTTTACACTAGGCCTAAATGCTCTATGATTACTTAGAACCGGCGCTTAATTAATTAAAAAATACAAACAACACTTTCAATAGTGAGAAAATGTTGATGGTTTCGTGGTTCTGTCATGTCATTTCTCACAGGGCAGACAAACCTACCACAGATTTGACAAGTTTAATTCCAAGTACAACCCAGTGGGAGCCAGTGAACTTCGTGAAATCTTTCTGAAAACGGACAACTTCATTGACGGAGAGTATTTCGCTCGCATCATAAAGGTTGTATGGAGTAATCTTGGATTTGAAGTCAGAAAATGTTTACGGTAGTTCTTACATTTATTTGTAACTCCAACAGGAAGTGGCTTGTGGCCTGGAGGAGAGCAAGTATCAGCACGCAGAACCACGTCTGTCCATCTATGGACGATCTCCAGAGGAGTGGAAAAATCTGTCCCAGTGGTTCATTTCTCAAAAACTCTACTCTCATAACATGAGGTGGATCATTCAAGTGCCCAGGATATAGTAAGTGCACAGCCTTGGACATATTCAACCCATTAAAGAGAAAAAGCCCAAGCTGTTTTAAATGCATGCATTTCATTTCCAGTGACATCTTCAAGTCAAAGAAGCTGGTGCCTAATTTTGCCAAGATGCTGGAGAACATCTTTCTTCCACTCTTTGAGGCGTCTGTCAACCCACAAAATCACAAAGAACTTCATGTTTTCCTCAAATATGTAAGAAGATCTTAACATGACCAGCTAGGAGTTCTTGCATACTCACACACTCACTTCCTGTTTTTTAACAAATATATCTCAAAAAACTGGAGTTTTCTAAAAAAAAAAAGTTTCTGTTGATCCATATATATTGACCCAATTTTGTCCTAGTAAATAAAACAACATAAAAAACAGTTAAATTCTATGCGGGTTTACCATTTTGTTGATGCAGCCTCTTTAATTCATTATAATCAGAAAAACACTGACAGAAATGTTTCCCAGTGACAGCCCACAGTTCACTCTGTTTCCCTCGTCTTTCCTGTGTTTTTGATTAGGTGACAGGTTTTGACAGTGTAGACGACGAGTCCAAACACAGTGACCACATGTTTTCCTTCAAGAGCCCAAAACCAGAGAAGTGGACCAGTGATGAGAACCCTCCCTACAGCTACTACATATTCCACATGTATGCAAACATCATGGTCCTCAACAACCTCAGGAAGTAAGAGCCAAAACCCTTCTGTTGTCTTCATGAAACACACATCTAAATATAAATGTATATATTTTAATGGAGCTTATAAAACATTGTGTTTTATATAAAGCATTGCTCGTACCTTTGTGTGTTTTCTTCAGAGAGCTTGGACTTGGCACCTTTCAGTTCCGTCCACATTGTGGAGAAGCTGGATCAGTCACTCATTTGGTCTCTGCGTTCCTGGCTGCTGACAACATCTCACATGGACTCAACCTGAAGAGGGTAGAGATTTTACTGATACTGTCGTTATTCACTTGGAACTGCTCTGCTAAGTTCTAAAGCATATTCCCCATTGATTTAACACCTTAGATGATGTAAATAATATTATCATGTATATAATATATATAACAATATATATATAACAATATTATCATTATCATATACTGTTTTTATTATCCCAAAGACTCAAAGAGAAAAAAATGATTAAAAAAAAAATATTTACACATATATATATATATATATGTGTGTGTGTGTGTGTTAGCTCTCTGTCAAATGTGTGAATTTACGCTTCACATTGAAAACAAGTTAAATTTTTAATGAGGTATGAACGTTTTCCCGCTTGGATAAGCCTAACAGTGCCCTCTTCTGGACACAACACGTCAACGTCTATATATACAGTATATACAGTACACACACAAATGTATGTATGTATATAATACATATAACAAAAAATACATTTTCATGTATTTTCCTTCAGAGCCCTGTACTGCAGTACCTGTACTACTTGGCCCAAATGCCAATTGCAATGTCTCCACTGAGCAACAACAGTCTTTTCTTGAAATACTCCAAAAACCCCTTCAGAGAGTTTCTGCAGAAAGGTCTGTGTGTGTCCCTGTCCACTGACGATCCAATGCAGTTCCACTACACCAAGGTAAAGACAAACACAATAAACACAGTGTTTTTAACAACCAATAGTCAGCATCGAACATCTGGTATTCAAATAATTAATAATTAATAATAATCAGTGTGTCTTGTTTGTTTAACCTCAATTCAGGAACCACTCATGGAAGAATACGCCATAGCCGCTCAGCTGTGGAAACTCAGCACCTGCGATGTCTGTGAAATAGCCAGGAACAGTGTCCTGCAGAGTGGACTGTCCCACCAGGTACAGTCGCCATCCTTACATGGACACGAACAATCAGAATAAAAGTTAGTTTAGAAAATAAAAGCATCACGTGAACACAGGAGTCTAGAGTTTTACAGATTCTCCTCCTGAATGAATGCAGCTGTTAATGACAGTTGCCACATGGATCACCATATCAAATACATGCTAAACATTCAGTGAGAAACCAATGGATCACAACATGGAGACCAGAAGACGTGCTGAGTTTGTTTACACTAAAGCAGGAAGTGGAACTTCTGAATGAATGATTGACACGTGAATGGATGGTTGTGTATATAAAAAATGGAACATTGCCCTCTTGAGTAATTACACTATACATAGAAATAGTAGGTGTTCAAATGCATTCCCCTAAGTAATTAATATTGATTACAAAAACCTACATCTATTCTTTATTTCCAGGAGAAGAAGCTGTTCCTGGGGGTGAACTACCTGAAGGACGGACCTGAAGGGAACGACATCCGTCGGACCAACGTGGCCCAGATACGAATGGCCTACAGACACGAGACACTGTGCAATGAGCTGAGCTTCATAGTTGGCGCAGTGAAGTCTGACAATGATTAGTACAATTGGGACATTATCTCTGACTGGGATGAAATACAAGTCCAAAAAATGATAGTCGGGTCAATAGACGACACTGGAAGTTTCCGTAGAGTGAGACACTTATCGATTACACAAAACCTCTGAGGATAAACAATTCATTTCTGTGATAGATATATGTTATAGAAACTTTAAACTTGAAGGGCTGTGTCAACTGTTTATACAGTTGACACAAGAGATTTGCACAGTGTGACAACAGTGATAAGAGAGATTGATTATGTCTGGGACATTTCCTCTGACTTCCCCTTATGTTCCTTGAAAAATGAGCCTCGTTCTTCAAAAAAACAAAAAAAAACAAAAAAAAAAAAAAAAAAAAAAAACCCCAAAACAAACAAAAGATATTACTGATGCCATCGAAGATATATTGGTGTGTTGTAAACGTAGTATGTGTTGACTCATGCAGTAAAAATGTCAATTAAAAAGTCTTCCTTTATTAGAGTATTATAAACAACGCCACCTGACGATTCGGTAAATAACGTAGCAAATCAAACACGGTGCAACAGCATGCAAAACTGACTACAGTACACTCTACAGTCAATCAGTCACATGACTTTCCATTTCAACCACTTCTATTTTCTCATCTCCTTCAGTGTCAGACGTGTTTTCCTTTAAATCCTCCCCACTCTTCCAGTCCTGTGTCTCTGTGGACTCGCCCTGCTGCTGTTGCTGGAGGTCTAAGCCCCGAGCGCAGGTCTTTTTCCTGTGGCCAGAGAATGACATTGTACATAAGATATGAGACAGAGAGACATGAAAATACCATCAACTAACATGCAATATCATTATCCAATATTGATTACTACTGTAAATCAACCAAGTATTGATTGAATATTGACTTCATATATTGAACCACAAACTAATGATGAAAATGAGGAGATAAAGTGGGTGGAGACAAACGCAGCAAATACATGGATGGGAAAATAAGCGGTGAGACCTGCTAGGATGTAAGGTTTGGGGACAGTAAGATAGTCAGAGGTGGATGAGGTGAAGATGCTGAGGTGTTTAGTGAGAGAGAGAGTGAGAGAATTAGACATGACATCAGTGGACGGAGGATGGATGGAGATGCTGCCAGGAAGAGAGCTGTGGACAACTCACATCTTTAGATAAACGACGACGATCACAGCGATAAGAAGAAGAATACAGGTGGAGGTGATGAGCATGGCTTTTCCTGTAACAACAAAACATAAAAATTAAAAAGACTTTAATAAAAACTCCCATTTACCAATGTATTTATTTTCTTCAGTCATTCTGGCCTCCATACCTCTGGCAGAGCTGTGTGTACTGCCCACATGGGGCGCAGGATCCCACTCTGTGTCTATAGTTTTGAGGGTGGTGGAAGAGGAAGGAGGATGACGGGAGGAAAAGGACGTAGATTGTGCCGCCTGGGTGGAGGCCGTCTGCTCTGAGTCATGAACGCTGCTTAAAGGGCTGCCGGTGGTGGCGTCCTCCAATTGTGCCGCTGCGTCTGTGTGTATGTGAATATGAAGGTCATGACTGATAACGACTGCTGCATGGTCGTGACATGTTGATGTATGTTCACGTTCTGCACGTTATTCTGTTCTTGTCGGACAATCTGTTCTTTACACATGCTGTATATATGTCCTACTGGTGATTGAACACATTGCTGTTAAAACACAGCGATCTATTCCATGTTCTCTGCAATTTTGTATATGTTGAGCTTTTGGAAGTTTATGTTGAGAATTTTGATGCTAAACAATTTTTTTTATACAAAATTAAAAAGAATGTCTCAACCCAAACTAAGTTAGTTAAACTAACTTAGTTCAACAAACTGTAACTGCAGTTATAAATATAAATCTTTTAGAAAAAAAATCTGGATTGCCTGAAAACATTCCTACCTGATTCATTGAAGCAGAAGACGTCAAACTTTTCCCTCACATACGTTCTCCAGGTCACCAGTCCTGTGCGATTCTGGCCACAGTTAGAAAGTGCTTTAATGCGAGGAATGACTGCCAAATGTTCGTCAATCCATCCATACCTAAAGAGAAGGAAACACAAATGTATAGAAAAAAGATCAAGCTCACTTGAAATGACCCGACTAAGAAAAGAAAAAAAATCTCTGGACAATCTCTGGTACCTGCATGTATCCAAGCCTCTGGTCAGCGCCTCCTCAACCTGAGCTTTACCAGCAATGGTCACTCCGAGGGACAAGCACAGCTGTCGAGCCTCGGAGGCGTTGAAGGCATAATGTGGTTGACCGAGGTCATTCAAGGAGCTCACCTGGAATACTCCAGCAATGCTTTGGTTCACTGCTGGGAAAACTGACAGAAAGGCAAGAACAAAATTCTAGAAGAACTTTTCCCAGGATTTAAAGAGTAGAAAATTAGACAGACTTACATCTGAGGCGGGTTGCATCAAAATTCTGACCACAGACGTGTGACATCAGTGAAAACAGTGAAGTGATGCCAAGCCAGATCATCTTCAGAAGTGTTCAGAGCAGACTGAGGTGAGTGAATGTGGAGGTGGATGAGTGCTGCTCAGTCTGAGCGCCTGAGAGCCAAATGACAGGGTTAAATAGAGTTGACTCTGCTCTCTGGAGTCCACGCACTCGCTTTGCCAGAAAGTAAAGGAAAAGGAAGAAGGAAGTACTGTGCACAAATCATGAGCCATCATCTGTCCTAAGAGCAGGGCCCAGGAGAGAAATAGATAAAAGTAATATGTCAACAGGACATAAAGCTACCAGAGGATTCTGTGAATGAAATGTGAATGAAGGGAATTTCAACGAGCTTCTCTTCTTCAAGTCAGAAGGTAATGATTTGCTTTAACGTTTAACTTGTTATTCAGAAAAACAAACAGTTCCAAGTGAGCAAATATGCTCGGAAAAAAAATTATGTATTTGTTAGAATTCTGCATTATTCTCATGAAAATTTCATTTTCTTGCCTGAACTTATAGGTCATGTGACTGTGGGCACCGTGTCCTGATGATTTCCTCCCATGAGTCACTGCTCAGTCAAGAACACGTGTATGATCTCCGATGAGCTTTTCAGCACCATTTCCACAAAAACATCAACCGACGGCAGGAAATGACGCAAAGAGAGCAGACGAGCACGCAATCTTTTTTTTTTGTCTTTATCAGATGTAACCTGTCTTTGAGGATGTGGGGAGAATATATAATACAAATATTAAGATATTATTTTTTATCATTCTTTTGTCTGGTCATTAATTGTTACTCTCTAGTCCAACAATAGTTGGAAACACCAACTGAAAACACAAAAGAAATACAATTTTCCATTTACCAGATATTGTGGTCTTGAAAATGTCTAAGTAAAGGATCAATGTGCTAATGCATAATGTGTTTTTAGGCCGGGTTTATTATCTTTATAGGGTTTTCCTAATAATATTAGTACATGTACATTAGTCATTAAAACTTGTCATTAACTTGTGTTTTGCTAAAATGGCTCCATCCTGATACACTGACTTTTTTGGGATCACTACAATAAAATAATGTGAAATTGTGTTATATTTTGCCAATCACTTCTTTTCCACTTCACTGTAACTGAGTCCCAGTGTAAATATATTTCATTTCTACAATATTAGTATCTATACAGTGTGTTGGAAAACATATCTCAATAAGTTTCCTTTCACACACCTTTATTTAAAGGTGAAGTGGCAGAGCATAAAATCCATAACGAACAAACCACACATGCAAGATCATGTGCAAAAAAAAAAAAAAGATAAAATAAAAACAAGTCTTGTGTTATCTATACAGTGATCTCACACAATGAGCAGAGACTGTCGGTGCTCTGAAGACCTTCAGTTTCAGATCATTGCACTCAGGGAACTACTCTGGAATGTGCTTATTTTAAATAAACAGGATAGATAAAAAACACTTATTTTCTTGAAATATAAATAATGACTATTAAAGACTAGTGTATGGTCACAACACTCGCTATAACAATCAGCTACATGTTATAGCATAGTTGAGTCTACAAAGTTATAACCTATGTAGGAACCTGAATAAAAAAGTTCTTTATGCCACATGTGAACTAGGAAACTGATTATTTACCTCATTACAGATTACTACAAAATTAAATAAACACGAGGAAGACGCAAGAGTTGCTATGCAGACAATACAATTTTGCTATTTTGCTCTTCCATTTACTTCTTCTGTTCAACTACTGATTTAGAATTTAAGTTGTTTTTTTTTTGCTCGTGTGTTCACTCTCCTTCCTTGAATAATTAAATTACTAATTAAATAAAATCAATTCAATTAAAGTGGAATTGAATCAAAGATTCATCCAACAATATATGAAAACAGACTGTGTTATTACCTTTTTTGTATTGTAGTCTTTTGTCTCTTTTACTATCTGTTTGTGAGCAGTTTTACTGAAAATAAAAATCATGATACATTTTGATATAACCTTGTACAGTTTCTCCCCTGCGGCGTGTTTGATTACATTTTGGTTGTGTTGTGTGTGTGAATGTGTTTGAGAGTGTTCTCTCTGGATGTTCTCTCTAGTATGTATCCTTGTATGCATTTCATTTGAATACACACATTTCTTCAGACAACACCATTGGTCCCTAAATGAAAACAGAAAATGTCCAGATACAGAAAACATTAAATACAAATTAAGTTTTCAATCCAAACAAAACCTTTGACAAAATGCTAAAAAAATGAATCTTAAAAGCGTCTATGTGAAAAAGATCTGCAGCCTCATGAACCAGTGGTTTCATTTCTGAGTGGTGTGGAGTAAAAAGACAGTTCTTCTCTCCTTACGTGTCCTCGCGTCGGTTGTAGTGGTCACTGAAGAAGGAGAAAATGCTGATCACCAGACACATTACCACAAACATGGTCAGGACGATCCAGAGCAGCCGTCTGCTCAAGGAAATCTTGGGACAAAAACGACTGAACCGAGCCAGAACCTCCTCCATCCTCCTGAAATATCAGGGATAATTTTTGTATTGAAAATTGATAACTGATGTGGCCCACAGCTCATTTGAGGTGGAGACCATTAGAGACACATTAGCATAGAGACAAAAACCACCGTCTTCTGGGTGAGGTATTAGCTGCTCTATTTCCTTGCAATATCATATGCCTACCACTAATAAAGACTATTAATAAAGAGTATTTTATGAATGGCTTGAGTTATGACTAAATATAGCAACTATGGTTTTGTAAGAAATATATTGCTTTAACGACTTAATGAGTTTCTGTCATAAGTTTAAGAAAATCCATACAAAAACCCATTGGGTGTCCTGAAGTATTAGAGTATATGTTGACAGTATTAGACTTCAGTGGTAACATAATGCTGTTGGTTAAGTTTGAAATGCACCAGGAGCTGCTGTACCTGAGCTACCTACGTTTTTTTAAACGTACCTGCTGGTCTTCATCTTCCTCCCACTCTCCTCATCTTTATTTTTCAATTCCAGCAATTTCTCACTCAGGCTTTCCTCCTCGTGTTTCTCTTCTTGGTGAACTTTGCTCTGCTGTAGTCCCTCTTGGAAACTGCATTGGAGAAATGTCACACAGCAGCTGCTGTTAACAGTGGAGTCCACTATAATGTATGGATTTGTGTTTTCTGTGAATCTCTGAGCCACAGGTGATGGACAGAATCAACACCGGTCATCAGTTGACTCCAAACGAACTGTGCTACTTCCACTTCTGAATCAGCAAAAAAGAAAATATTATTTGATGGACAGATTGATCTTTTTTTTGGTTAAAAATTGACCTGAATGTGTTATTACAGCAAATTTGACTACAGCACTATTGACTGATGCAATAACTTTTCAAACTACATACTTTTCATAGTATGTAGAAGCAAAATTAAAGTCTGCCACATACAGCTTCAATTCTTCTAAGAAACGTCAGTGTGGGTGTGGGTGTGTGTGTCGGTGTGGAGAGAACACCTCACAGGAGAGAAGACCTCACCCTTTGTTATAGGCCTCCTCCTCAATCTTTGCCTTGAGCTCAGCTCTGATCTCAGCTCTGATCTCCTCTAAGTTGACTGGAGGTTTGGCTGGCTCACTTTCCTGCTCCAGCGC